GCTGAAATGAACAGGGCTTTTATTTTAAGACCGCGAAACAGTCATACAAAATTTGTACTTAGCTTTTGATGCTTATGTATTTCTGTGAACTTTATTAGTCCCTGAACTACTGCTATAGGCTATGTAAAAGTTATCAAGTTATTTCAGGGAAATTGATCAGCATCATTAATGAATGTAGATATCACCTTACTGCATCGTTGATTTAGAGCTTGCTTTTTTTGTGCCCAAGCATTTAATACCAGAGACTTACTTTGTAAATCCATGTTGTATTTCAACTGATGCTGGTGCTAACAGGGGCCGCCAGCAGGCTAGCGGTGGCAATGGGTCTTCTACAGAAAAGCAGTGCTCTAGCAAGAAACGAACTGGTACAGCAGAAGGAGTGCCATCAGAGTTCAAGACAGTCACTGTGCAACCAGTGGGAGGCAACAATGAAACTATAACTGCTACTAATCCAAAAAACTGGCAGCTACCCCCCAAGCCGCTGAGTGGGAGGCAAGAGGAGGCCAGTGTGGACAGTGATAACATATCATCATCTGTCTCTTTACATCCACAGAAAGATGGGAAACATTCAGGTATTTATGCTGAGGGTCATGTGTTGCTTGCTTATGTGTTATAAGAATCAAAATATTTGTATTTACTGTATTCTGACTGTGAAATAAAACTTTATTTACTTTATTCAGCTGACATGTTTCATCTACGATATGTGAGACATCATCATGGATTATTTACCTCCATGTTAACTAACATAGAGCCATGATTAAAAACATTTTTGAACTTCATCAGAGATATAAAAATCATTAGTAACAATAAAATGAAGTCAAAAGTTGCAATAAATTACCTTGATTCAGTTACATTCTCCAGTTCTTAATTATAAATGTCTCTGTTCACAAGCAGCCCTTTTTTACTGAGGCGATTGTTCCTTCTTGTAACTTATGCAGGGCTGCTTGTGAGTGCAGTAGCATATGGGTTCTAGAAGAAAATGTTAAATTACAATGACTGTCTTCTGGATTGTTGCACTGTGTAGTGTGGAAGTTTACTAACATTTCAGAGGTGCTTGCTGCCTAATCATTGCCGTGATGATGGAGACAGCAAGCACCTCTGAAATATCAGTAAACTTCTGCCAGACTACAAGGCACAACAACTCAAAAGACATTTTTATACTTACCACTGTGATAACCTCAAATCTCTTAAATATTAAGTCAGTGTTTATTTCAATTTGTTTGGCAATTTTAGAGTAATTTTAGCTTATTTTAATATCATTAACAATTTTTACATGTTTAGTGAAGATCCATAATGATATAATTAAATTATTTTCCTAGATTAGTAAATACACCCTTATGATGTTTGAGATATTATTGATGGGTAAATAATGCCAGAAACCATATTTCACTGTCAGAATGCAGTAAATACAAGCAAATATACTGGTAAGTTTTGTCTACAGTGTAGAAAAAATGTTTCTTATAAAGTGTGGTCACTATAAATTAAATCTGTGTAGTGGTGAATGTCAGCAGTAGAGCAATAAGGTTTCAAATTAATTAATGTTCAGGAGTACTGTTCTGTTCTGGCTGATTGTCAAGAGGAAGAAGTTAGGAAATTAGATGAATTTTTAATTTTAGACCTTAATAAAAACATCCATTAGCTGTCCCACTACCTCAGTTTGAAAATTGTGGGTGCTAAAACAGTATGAAGTTTAAACTTATAGAACAGCAGTTTATATAATTGTTTTTGATGGAATTGAATAATCCTTTGTGATACTGGTGCATTTTGCATGCCAGAAGAGTGCACATGTAGAACTTGTTTTGCAACTGTAGAGAAAAATATTAAAACTAATTCTTTTTCTTGATTGTGATGTACCTCTATAAGGCAGTGTAAGTGTTGCATTACTATCTTGTGTCTCAAATTGAAATTGTTAAAAAAGGACTGACATGCAGAACTGCTAATTGTTACAACTGGACCAAAATTCTTAAAAAACTTTCCAGATCCTACAGACTCACACAACACAAATAATAATCGCAGACGTCGTCAACTGTTCGGACGTCTGAAATCAGCATCCACTTCACGTCTTCTCCAAAACAATAAAAATAACAATAGTGGACGGGCAGAAACTTGTAGTAATCAAGATGACTCTTCATGCTCACCTGTTGAGAATCTGCGAAGGCAACTTCAAAAGCTAGAGGACCTAGAAGATCAATTCCCTGCATCAACACACACTGACACATATCTGCGATATCCGTTCAGAACAGACTCTGGTCAGTAAAGTATTTACAAGATGAATCTGTCTTTATCTAAGTATACCAAACATGTAAGGCATTGTATGCTTTGTATGGATAATTCAGAATAATGTAACTAACTAAATTATTTATTCCACTGAGCAGAATAGTTTTGACAAACTGATAGTTATACAGCTGATCAAGAAACTCCTTTCCCTTAATTAAACCCAAAGGTTCATTAACTTGTTCACAGTACTCTGCCACTGAACTTGTACTGAGCAAGATGAATCCAGTCTGGACCATCACACCCTGTTTCTTGAACTTTTCAGTATGAGGTGCAATGCGTATTATGCCATCACCTTCTGGTGCAGTGGCATAATATGCATTTCATACAACCAACTCATACTTTGTGCTTGTCTTGCTCATTTGAACTACATGGATTCTTACAATAATTTATTTACCGTCTTTACACAAACTTAAAAATGTTGTTAAAATTACTTAAAATTATAACATTTTTTCGTTAGATACAGATGTTGTTACATTTTACATTGACGACATGTTTCGATGTTATCTCATCATCATCAGGTCTATCAATTAAAATCTGTTGCACTTCTTGCTCTGCGTATATTGATTTGTTTTATTTGTTTGATTTTTTAAGTTCCTTCCATTAAATTTGAAGGCTGTGCCCGGATGCTTTAAATCTGTAAAATTTAATTTTAATTTTCAAATCGTGATTTTGGATAATGACATAGGAAATAGAATAATTTACTAATTTAAAGAGTTATTACGTAATATATATCTGTATCTAATGAAAAAATGTTATAATTTTAAGTAATTTTAACAACATTTTTAAGTTTGTGTAAAGACGGTAAATAAATTATTGTATTAATAAACACAAACATGACGCAATTAAGATATAAATTACATGGATTCTACTTGAGTGCTGTTTGAGGTGAAGGTCTACAGATTTTTATTGTGTATATGATTGTGGAAATTTACCAGTTTTACATGGAGTGGATTAGTTCAGTGAATGCACGAAGGCATCTGAATTATCCTTCCTACAAACTAAGAAGTGTGAGGAAATGCAATAGCATTGGCTGGCCTCCCGTTGAAAATTTTCAGAACTGAGAAATTCAGGAAAATTCTCTGCAGTGCAAATTATAATAAAAATAATCTTAGATTGTGGGTTAATTATTTACATGTTTTGAGCATTATGATTTCCATTTTAAAGTATATTAAGTAGTACAGACACAGTTACTAATTATTTTTATCATAGCTTATGCTGGATTTATTGCTATTGGATATTATATATTTGGGCATATAAGGGAGAGGTCTTTGTTGTGAATATGGCTTACTGTAGAACATATCTGTTATAGGTGCTGAACCCAGTTCAATAATGATGTTGTCATATGCAGGCCAGTTGGGAAGCTCAGAACTAGAATTCTTCCGTCATCGGATTCACCTAGAACGTGACTCAGTACGGAGAGCTAAGGACTTCCTGAGAGCGCAACGCACTAGTTTCCAGTCCAGGCAGAGGGAACTTAAACAGCGGCAACTAGATGGCAGCACAACAGCACGCAACATGCTAGATCAGCTTTATCAGGTAGAAGAAAAATCTGTTTTGTTATTATCACGTGAATAGTCACTGAATACATCAGTGTGGCATACAGCTTTAGCCCTAACTGGCATCTGTCCAGCAAGCAGAAGCACTAATTCCATAATATTTATATTGTAGTAACAGAGGATTTAGGAGATTTTAACATCCATATAATAGGGGTGTGTCACTTGGACATTAACTCCATGGTTTATGGTTTAGTGGTATGCTGCTGTAATGAGTAAATTAGTGAAGATCTCTTAAGTGATGTCTGTGCCAACACAGGTACATATTGATACTAATGTGCTAAGATTTGTTTATGGTTTCTTATTTTTGCATGATAGTTTCTAATATCACAGAGATGTGTATTATGAAGATAAATTGTACATTTCTAATGTGATGCATTTTAGGAAGAACGTGAATTGACTGATATGGAAGTGAGTTTACACAGGACTCGGGGACTCCTAGGAGAGAAAATAATTCGCTTGCGACACTTGGAACAGTCACTGCATCGAGCCTCTAGCCCACGGTTGAAAGGTCATGAAAAACCTGAACCCAGAGAAGATGCTACATTGAGTGATCTCAGCTCACACAGTGGATCTTCT